TCCCATCCACACCCATACCCACCCACACCCCACCCCCACCGCCACACCCACACCCACACCCAGCAACAACATTCCCAGTTTGCTGCAATTGTTTTACTTATTGTAAAAATGGATGTTCTAATAATTGTTCCTATATTGGTCATTGGTTTTTATCTCTATTTAAACTAGAAAACAATTTTATATGAAACAAATCGAATAATTCACCATTATTTGAGCATGTATGTGCAAAATTTTGACAATGATCAAAAAGACGATCAACTGTCAGTTCTAATAGAGGCCTTTCAACAATTCGTTGATATAGGTCTTTTGTTTGGCTTTGAAACGATTTACCATTGTTATTCTAAGTGACCATACACATCAGATCGAATATTATAACCATCGCATGTTGCTCTTTATGAATCAAGACGTTCAGTCTAAAATGCATAAAACCATAGAACAACATTAAGATTCGTTTTTAGTGCTAAATATATACAGGAGTGATAATCACACTTTTAGCAAACACATCAATTATTTGATCAGTAATTCCACAATCGTCAAGCTTAATTGTTCTTCTTCAAACTAAAATATTCGAAGGATTTACATGTCGATGAAGAATTTTCCAACAAGATTTCAAATAACCAAGTGCTTCTAAATTCTATTGAAAAAACAAATATATAAAATCGATCGAATGACGTATTCATTAATTTCATACAAATCCAATAATCTCCCTTTTTTTAAAGATAGCACCATAGAATATACAACATGTGTACAAGTATTTTCACATACGTTAATATCTAATTCATTGAGCATTTGTTTTTCACATCAATTATCATCAAGAGAACAGAACACTCTAAATAACATTGAGAAAGATAATCATTAAGACGACTATTCGTAGTTATAATAATAGCCATTATGGTTACCTTTTTTTTTTGTTTCATTTTATGTACAATACCAAAATTTCCTTCTCCAGTTACATCATGATCGATTAAATCATTCAATGTAAAGTCATATAGCTAACTAAAGAAAGTGACCATACAAGAGAACAATGTAAAACTTTTCGCTTCATAATCTGAACAAAATCAGATCTACAGTAGTAGCAAAAAGTCTCGCACCCAGATGAAAACTATCTAAACCTCAACCGTTTGGGCTCATAGTTTTATTCCAAATAGAACTCAATGAACCTTGATCGTAAGCACTACTCGTGCCAATACTTGTGTGTTTGATAAAAAATATAGGAAAAACTTTTCTCGATACTTTTTTCATGTTTATAATAAGAAAAAGAAAATGATCCCATATGGTAAATATCACTTGAAAAATTTTTTTATCAAATACATGAGTAATTATCAATATTTTAGTATCAAAACAAAGCTCAATATATAATCTTTCAATAGTAAAAAAATAAATACATTTATTTGAGGATTGAGATATGATTTTCTTTTACATCATTGATTACAGTAAAATGATCATAAGTTTTCAACGACTCGATGAATTTCAATGAAATTTATCGTGTAGATAGCTAGAATAGTGTACTACATAATGAGATTTTGGTCAATTCAAAGAATCTTTTCTTTCTGGAATTATGAGTTTTACAAGGAACATGACTAATACTTATTATAACTTTCTTCTGACTCGAGCAATTTCGGCATGAGTGCTGCTTACGATCTGTCACTACTGTATTTGCGTTCTCTACAAGTTCAAAACTTTTCAGTACACGCGCACTCACATATTACTTCTTATTTCTTTTCTATTCAAAAGATTTTTATTTCTCTTTCACTAAAAAAATCTAATAAATACAATTTATAATTTCGCTTTCATACGTTCGAGCTGGTTTCTATACTTTAGAAGTTCAGGATGATTGGATGGTAATGAATGTTGTCCTATTTCTGTAGCACATTCGAAATATGAATGAGCTTTTATGTAGTTATTCATATTTTCGTACACCAAACCGATATCGTTATAACACTTAGCCAAATGAGGATGATTGGAAGGAAGTGATTGTTGTCGAATAGCAAGAGCTTTTTCATGAGACGAAAGTGCTTCGGAATAATTACCCATACTGTAATGCACATTACCGATGTTGTTGTAGGAATAAGCCAAATCAGGATGATCAGAACAAAGTGATTGTTGCCGAATGGCAACAGCTTTTTCATAATAAGAAAGAGCTGTTGAATTTTCACCGATTGCACCATATGCCTTACCGATATTGTTGTAAATATCAAATAAATAGGAACTGGTAGGAGAAAAGTTCTCTTGATAAATATTGATTGCTTTGTCATAAAACATTATTGCCTCTTGATATTTTTCTTGGCTAAATTTGATCCTTCCGAGTGCATGGTACAAAGATCCATTGATCAACTCGTACGTTGTTTGTTTGAGTAGAGCTTGATAAACTTCTTCAGCCTTGTCGAATTGACCCATTTTTTCTAGCATAAGACCCAACGATCTCCATCCGTCCTGACATGATGGGATTTCGTCTTGGATACTGTAAGTGAGTGCGCATAAATCTTCGTCATCGTCACTCGTAAGTGTTAAAATGACTTCATAAAGACGATTGTTCTCAGTCATTGGTTTAATGTCACAGATACGAAACACGGCATGCATTGAAAATAACACTTCATCTTCCATGTGAAAGTAACTAACTTCGCGAATGGAAGCAAATGGAGTTGTTGATTGAGCAGGGTCAATTTGCATAATGAACAGAATTCCTACTAAATCTGGATTAGTGGCAGCATGTTGAGCAAAATCAAGTGAAACTTCGCGTTTCTTGCTGGTTGATAGAAAGTTATTAAATGAAATTAACCCACCTTTGGTTTTTGACATTTGTTCGAAATCTATCTTGGACAAACCTTGGCCACGATAGACTGTAAAAGATGCAGTAGAATATTGGTCACCAAATTGTTTCGCATGTAGT